CCCTTGTACACTGTGGGTGCATCTACATAAGGCGCTTAATGTGTAGCTAATTAGGCAACTACAATAGAGCATCATAGGTGTGTCTACATGAGACACTTTACTTTGCAGTAGAACAAGTTACTGTGTAGTAAGCATCACCATCTACACATGCAGACCCCTGCTGCACTGTAATTTGCTCTACTCAATTTGTTACCTGTAAATGCAAGTTGCAAATTAACTGCCAGGTAATTACTGCACAGCAAGGCATGTGTAGATGGCTGACTGAGAGCAAATTCGCTCCCTGTGGGAGCCCAGGCAGGGACAATGTCCTTCTGGCCCAGTAGCACAGAGCTCCCTGCCCCCACTCTGCTCCATGATCACAGGGACAGGGAGCTCCCTGTTGCTGGGGCAGGAAGCTTCCTATAAAAGGAAAATTCGCTCCCCAGCCTAGAGCTGGTTGAGATCTGCCCCTAACTGGGACAGTCAGCCAGCCCCGAGGGGGACAATGTCTCTGCCTGGGCTCTGCCATCTGAGCCCATCCTGGCAGCAGGCAGCTCCTGGAGACAGGAAGCAAATCTCCCAGCCCCTGCCAGGAGACAGCTGTCTCCTGGCCCCATGCTCCCTGCCAGTCCCTGGGCTAGTACCCAGGGGGAGCCCGAACTCCCCCCAGCTCCTGCAGGGGGCCAGTGCAGGGCTGGAGGGGGCAGGTGCAGACTGCTGTCAGGAGCAGCAAATCTGCTTCCAAATGGGCATGTGTAGCTGCCTCTTAAACATACGTTTACTCCAAAGTAAATTACACTAGAGTAAACCCATCCAGCAGCATTTGTATGTGTAGACATACCCACTGTGGACACAAGCAGTATTAGGCCAGAGTAAACTAATTAGCTCCGCTGTAGGATACTACGGCTGAACACAAGTACTATTCTACAGCAGAGTTATTTACTCTACTGCAACGCAAATGTAGACAGTGACTGGGGCTGGCTGGGGTACGAGGGTGCTATAGTGAGGGACTGCCTGCCAGCTAGCTCCAGTGTGGCTCCCTTGTGTCCCAGCCAGCCCCTCTGCAGCACAGTGAGCTGGAGGGATCAGCTCTGGGCTGGCAGGCTGACCCACCCCCCAGGCCCCCTGCCAGCTGGGACTGTGTTGCCCAGTTCAGTGTGCTGTGGTCCCAGGTGCATGTGTATATGCTATGCCTGGGAGCAATAAGTGTCTGTGCGAATTGCACCGAGTTTTTTGCATTAATAACAGGGCACATCTACGCATGATAGTACCAAACAAATCCCTATTAATCTGTCCATATGGCGCAATGCAGGGCTATGCAGACAAACCTGATCTAGCTCTGAACAACCAGTCTTGGGTAGGAAAGCAGTATTATCCATGTTAAAAAGTATGGACTAATCAGTCCTGTTAAGAGGTATAGTAAGTTGCTCAGAGCTAGCTCAGCAGTCTTCATATGGCACTGCATCCCAATATGCAGACATGCTGCTGGTCCCATTCATACAAAAGATGCTTTTGTTTCAAAACACTCACCAGTAGTATGATAATTGCCAAAAATCGACTCTACCCCAAGCAAATCTATCCTTTCTGAAGGTTTGTTTGGACTGATGGGGTCTATTCATTTTAGAAAACACTTTTCACTGAAGGCAATATCAAAAGACCACCTATACTTATTACACGTTGACTACAGCCCCTTGTTCTTGATAATACACTAAACTATTCAAATCCTGGAAGCAGTCCTTGGACTAGAACTTTAATGAGCAAAAGTGGTTTACCTCTTTCGAATGCAAAAGGCACTTGAGACTGCTTTTATGTCTAATACTGCATTTTAATTCTAAAAGGCTACAAGTTAAAAAGCTTGCAAACAAACTAGCCACCACCTTTGGAAATACCCTTCATGAAAAAAACAGTTCAGACAATTTTCCCCTCAAAGCAGATAATTCTGTCCTGTCAATATCTGTTTAAATCAGTTGGACATTATATTGAATGATCCGACTACTGCCTATCATTCCTAGGCAATAATGCTATACAGAACATAACTAGAATCAGTGCCCCACACCAGATTTTCAAAGATGACAATTCCATTTCAACAATTTTTTTTAAACCTAATACATGCTTGGGCTAAAGATCATTCAAAACCTGGTCCTAAGATTGTGTTTGATGAGGACATTTTTTTTTAATCCAGATAAGGAACTTCTAGATTTAAAGACTTGTTCCCCCTACCCTAGCAATTCTATTGCTTTAACAATTACATTAGGTAAGCCAAATCGCAAGCAACAGCAAAAACTGAAAAGACATAAAGGGGGCAGCAAGACTTTAAATTCCTTCCCTTGAACATGTGCCTTGCACCTACATTAAGTTAAAAAAGATGAAGCCTTCGATTATTTTATCATCAAAAGGTTTCGTGTTTGTAAATCAGTTACCTGAAAATATTTTTTCCAGTTAACAGAAAGCAATTTTTAAATTCCTCCCAATAGATGGCCAGAAGTCATTCATTTTTGTTCTGGAAAATATTTCCCCATGCCCACTAAAATACCAATTATAACAAGTGTAAAGGCAAGAAGAAAAAAAAAAATAACCAAAAAGAAAAATGGCTTAAGATTCTCATACAAATCTAAAAAGTCACATTGCCTTGCATGTTAAAACAGGTTCCAAAAGGAAAAAAAAAAAAAAAACCCAAAAAACAAAACCCCACAAAACCTCAGCATTGCATTGCAAAGGTTTATACAACTACTTTTTAAAACTCCTTCCCTCTTACGTTTGGAAAGTCTTTAACTCGGTATATTTCCCAAACAACCAAAACTTAGTGGGTTTTTTGTTTTTTTTTTTTAAGAAAACGATACTCAAAGGCCTGCACACAGGTAGTCCCCAACTTACGACGTTTCGAGTTACGATTCACATTTACATGGTTTATAAATTGATACCCCATTTCAAATTTATGACATCAGTTTCAACTTTACAATGCTTGATCCAATGCAACGTCACACCAGCAAACAAGTTTGCTGCCTCACTCATCTCCCTGGAGAACATCTGTCCAAACTGCCTTGGACACTTCCTTTAAGAAAGCAGACAAGACTCCAGAAAAACCTGCAGCCAAGACTTCCGAGAAGACTCCAGCCAAGAACCCTTCAAAAAGTCCAACCAAGAGCCTTTCAAAAAGTCCAGCAAAGTCACCTCAAAGAAGTCCTTCCAAATCAAGATGTTTGCTATTTATAATATAAATACATTAATGTAGCTATATTACTCATCTATAATTGATCAAGTACAAAATTCTGGGGTGTTTTTGGTGAAAGTAGGGAGTTGGGCCTTGGTTCTGGAACCCATCCCCCATTTATAATATTGTTTCTTATGAGAAAACTGGTTCCAAGTTACAACGTTTTGACTTAAGACATGGTTTTCAGGAACCAATTGCATCATAAGTCCAAGGACTGTGCGTACTTGTAAATAAAGCAGTGGTAAAGCAGGGTACATTGAGAAAAATAGTGGCAAAATAAATAAATAAATAAATAAATAAAATGGGTTTATTCAGTGTGCAGAAGGATGGTGTACATGACATTTTACTAGTATTTCATTAGTGCTTCAGGTACTACTATTTCAGGAGGCCTAAAAAATTTCTTGGGCATCCTGACAGCAGCAATTTGGGGGGACATACTCTCTTGCCTCTTGCTCAACTGCATTGATATTCACTTGTTGTAAAGTACCCAGCTGAAGCAGGATATGAAGGATTCGCTCCTCATACACTCACTGTCCCTTTAAATAGGCTTTCACATGTCTATTCAGTTCAAAACATTTCATGTGTAGGACAATTTACATGAACAACACCACTGTTCCTTTTTAACCAGAAATGTATACAGAACTAATCTACTTAAAGCACCAAATACTGAATCATCTCAAACAGAAATGTGGAAATAAATGTATTATAGCCCCACTTTTGATATTGATGATCCATTATTCATGATTATCCAGCAAACTTATTTTTCTCCATCAGAATACAGGCATAAGTTATGTACCACAAGTTATTTTTATCCCTTTCAACATTCTTTGTGATTCTCTACTTTTCAGTTAAATTTTGCTTAAAATCAGGCCCATGTTTAAACATCAGATATTTCATGATGGAAGAATTCCAATATTTTTTAAAATCTCATTAAAAGGAGATTTAATTACAACTAGTAACCTTTTTAGGATCACACTAGAAACAAAAACGTCTTTCCTCTCAGATAAAAAGCTACCTGCTGTTTGAGAAGGCTTGATGAACACCTGTATTTTAGATCAAATAAATGTACAAGTAAAAGGAATCGTTTAAAGTTCGTTTTGTGTGTAAACAACAGATTGTCACACACACTGTCTGTACTGCCCGATTTTCTAATCTATTGAGATATGAACTACATAGAAATCAAACTATTAAATCTCACAGAATTGCTCCACAATCAAAAATCTTTTGCATAGAGTGTTAGCCATATTAATGCTGTTGACAAGGCTCCTGAAGTCCACAAGTCTCACCTAGCAGTGCCCATATACAAGTTTAAAATCAAGTAGTTACTTCACAAGCTGAATGGGGTAACATCCAGCACTCACCAGGATTCTGTTAAAGCAAGCAAGCATCCTACTCATTGACTTGAATTCAGATGGAATATGTTCACAGCTTTGTTTTGACACTACAATTTCAAACAGTCACTCTATCAAGAGTTAAAAAAAGAAATATATATGTATTTTTTTTAAGTTTGGTACATATACATGTACCAATTCTTCAGATGTGTGCCAGTATTTAATCACAACACTGTTAAGAATGATCTCAAATATTAACCTGATTGGCAGCTATTCAAGATGCTTTACCCCTCAACTTCGTACACACTGATTGCACCTTGCCGAGTGACTGAGGCACATAAGGTGCAATGCAATAGTACAACAGTTTGGACAGCAGAGGGCAGTCCTGTCCCACTGGGTGGAACCCCTAGGCATCTCACACAATCCCTTTTGCACTAATTCAAGTCCATCAGCTGCTGAAACCAGTTTTCACAGAAGTCTTAGAGTGTAGCTAGAATCCTTGAAAATGAGATAATCAATGTCAAAACTGTCTGTCCAACTCCAAACACAAGCGCTTCCAAGGGAGCCATATTCTTCCCTGCCACTCTGTAAATTCCAGCTACTGCAGCACCTAAAGTCACAAGAAAAGACAAACAAAAAACAAGGTTAAAGCCAAAAATCTATTATTTACAAAGTACTACCAAATAATTCCTCCAACATTGCAAATTTATGCCTAGTAAATAAGTACAGAAAATTGAGGTAAATCAAGAATATTTTTATGAGCTGCACTGTATTAGTCTGAAACACTGAGAAATTCTCACTTTCAAAAACCCAAAATACTCAACATAATGTTGCAAAACCCCTATAAGAATGTTAGAGTGTAGGGGAGAAGGGTTCCTGTTTGGGTTTTTTTGGTTTGTTTGTTTGTTTTTTTATTAACACCTTTGTCCATTCTGTGGTACTTTGAAGAGGTCTTAAGAAGTTGTCTAAATCTTTACCAGCCAAAGCACAAAAAATTATCTACCCATCTACCTAGATTTTTTTCATAGTATGGCAAGTCAGAGCTATACTGGCAAAATATTAAACCTTAAGGATTACATGAGAGCTATACAAAGTTACTAAAACAAAATAAAAGCATTGAATCATGACCAAGGACAATATATGAAAAGGAATACCACTTTAATATTCAATATAGGGATGAATAATAAGGAATTATTCTGAATTGTCCTACTGTGTTTAGGTTTTTCCATTAAAAGTACCCTGGCCTTTTGATACTACATATAGACTGCATAACCCAAGCCAAAATACTGTTCTGCAGAGTAACAGTAGTGGCAATGGTAACTTTCCCACTATCTTCCTCATGTGAAATTTGTCATGCACATCTATGTTGCATTATGCAAAGGAAGGTCACATAAACAGAATGAAAGCTGTGATGTTATGTCATATTTGAACTGATCAGTAGGAAATGATTACTTCCATTGTTATATCAGAGATTAAGCTCTTAAAACAGAAACTTAATACATTTGGTGTATGCTTTCTGCATCTTCAGATATATCAGATCATCTTTTGCAATGAAACTCAGTCATGTTTACTACAGTTAGGTAACTGTCAGTGTAAAAATGTATTCAATTGAATCTGCAAAGGCACTGCTAAGAGCAGCTAATGTTTATTTGATGCCCCATGAGTTAACATTATTTGGTACATATTATCCAATCCTCCTGTACTGTACCACAGTTTGTATGCCTTAAAAAGTAAAAAGGACAACAACTAGTCTTTTTTCACGATTAGAAGAATGTATTTGGGGGGGGGGGGGGGGGAGATCATGGAATGGTACGTACTTGATACAGAAATTTTAATGTTACTTAATCACAATTAAATACCTAAAACAAAAAAAGTCACAGGGGAAAAAAACAAACAAACAAAAAACCCCAAACTAGTAGAGAACCTGTTCACGTTTCAGTAAGCAGCAAAAACACAGACATTATTTGAAGTTAAAGAAAACAGATTTCGTTTTAAAATGAACAGAGTTAGTAACCCATTATTAGGTCAAGGTATCATAAAATAAATCTGCCGAATGAATTGGAATAAAGCAATTTTAGATACAAGGAGGTACATGCATCACAATAAACAGACCAAATTATAATTAATTTGCCACCTCCAAAAAAAAACACAAAACCATTTTTCCCCCCCTAAGAGCTATAGAACACACTATTCTTTTAAAATCAGGGGTAGGTAACCTTTTCTAGCTGCAGGCTAAAATGACCCACCATGGGTCAGAGGTAGGTAGATGCTAGGACCTTGCTGCAGCCAGTATTCATCCCCATGGTGTCATGGGGTAAGCACCTGCAGCTGGCACCGTCCCAGCTACTAAAGTCCCACATCTGCCAATGGGGTATGGCCCGTAGGCCATAGGTTGCCAACAGCTGTTCTAAATGAAGAGGTGCTGCAGTTAAAACAAGAGCTTGTGGGTGTGTCTACACATTCGTGTAGAATATTTTGCTGTGATGTGCTAATGCACAGTAGAACTAATCTACTGCACATTTAGTGTCTTGTGTAGATGCCCTGTGTGTGTAGGGTTTCATTAGTTCAAAAATATTTTCTTACTCAGAAAAGGCTGTTTTGTGTTATTTCAGTCAGCAGCCTTGGACAATGTTGCTCTCAAATATTCTTGGACAATCTACTGCCTAAACCAGTAGTTTTCAACCTTTAAACTCATGGCACCTTCCCAGATGATTCCAGTTCTTAACCTTTCACTCACTTTTTTACTGCAGAAAAATAGTAGATATTGCTGCAAAAAACACAAAAAAACCCAACTCCTCAAAAAGATCACAACAGGTCAGAACGTTTGACACTATGCATTCATTACTTTAAATGTCTGAGGGTTTAATCTTGTGAATCACATGTAGGTGTTTCCATACCCAACGGTGCCAACATTCAGCAGCATCCTTAAAAGGATCTCATGGCACCCTGGTTGAGAAATACTGGCCTAAACTGAGAAAGGTTGTTTAAACAGAATCCTCTTCCTCTCCCTCGATATTTTAGTGAAAGAATATCCTTCTGCACTCATATTTAACAAATAGCATCCCTAAAAATGGTCTCAAGTTCTAATGTCCTAACTTTGGAGAGACTGAAAAACTTTAGAAAGTTGAGAGATTCAGAGAAAACAACTATGGTTCCAAAACTGTTCAAGTTTTGTAGTTTGATTTTTTTTTTTTTTTTTTTATTTCACCAATTCTGGTCTGGTCAACTGTAAAACAAGTTAAAAAGCTTTCATTTTTTAACTCAACACTGTTCTGTGGGGCAGTGCAGCAGGGCACTAAACATGGACCCTGCTATACTTGCCCTGCAAGGTGAACCCAACCAGGAAGCACAGCTACTGAGGGCTCCAGGACCAGGAAAAACAAAAACAAACACACACACACACACACACACACACACACACACAAAAGAACACCAAAGTTTACAGTCCAGCACCAAATGAGTTAAGCTGTATGTGTCATAGGCAGATGCAGCTGGGGCTGATTCCCAGGTCTACAGAGTTCTGGTGTTCCTCAAAAAGAGGGGAAGAATCACAGTTTAGGGATCCCTCTGGAAAGGGGGAAGCAAGGGGGAAATTACTACCTTGTGTATCGTGCAGAAGCATGAACAAGAAGTGGAAAGCAGAGAGGAAAGACTGACTGCAGAAAGAGTGAGGGGCTGATGCTGAACCTGCTGCCCCGTAGATGCATCCCAGCCTGGCAAAGAATAATCCTGGTCTGCAGTGAAGGTGAGCTTGTGCTGTGCTCCAAATTGACTCATGGAAACAGGAGAAGGTGGAGGAATAAGTGACAAATTCATGGCAAGTCTGTACCAAGTTATTTAAGTTATAGAAAAAATTAATTAGAGACTGTTTGGGGAAAAATATGGAATAGTTATGGAGACCTACTTAATTAAGAAGGACCTGATTGAACGGGTGTTGTGTTGCATGGATTAATGAGACTATGTAGAACCTGAGTTAGACAATCAGGTCTATTGATCAGTGATTTAAGATGATTTACTCTAGAACTTAATTGAGCAAAGACTCACATTTTTACCTGTTTGAAGCAAAGATTCGAAGAGACCAGCAAAGAAGGAAAAGTGGGGTAAAACCTATGCGTTGAAGCCTGTTGCCTAAAAGAATCAAGACAGTGAGTGATGGGACATGATGTAGGTAGGGGAGGAGGAGACCTGTAAATACACCTTGAGAATGTCCATCAGGTCAACCTACTAGCAAGACATCCACCTCCCCTGTTCAATATATATATTTTTTTTTTATTTTTTTTTAAACATTTCAGCATGGTGGGTAAAATAACATAGTGGTAAGACTACAAAGAGGGGCAACTGACAGTTAAGTGGAGAACTGCTGCCACAGGCAGAAATACAGTGGGTAGAAGTTGCCAACAGAAGAGTTAAAATGCAGTTAAAATTCCCATTACAAGATCATTATGGCAAGATTAAAACAGATGCACGTGTTGATGTTCACCTGTTCTGTACTCAATTGCTTAGTTTCTCTAGAAGTATTACAAATTCTGTTAGAAGACTTGTAAACTCTGTCAGAGTTTACAATACAGGGATTTCACAAGTGCTCTTTAACCTGGCAATCTGGAAAGACGAGCAAGTGAGAGAGAGGCTCACAGTTGCAATTAAAGACATTTTTTCCATTTCATGACCATACGATCTTCTGTAATTTACTACAGACTTTCATGCAACTTTCAATCAAATCTCCAAAAGCATCTACATATTGCCCTATGGTAATGTTGCTATGGCACCGTGTTTTAGTACTTCCTTTTGGTAGTACTAAAAGGAAGTACTAAAGTATTTGGAAATAATTCCTTTTGGAAGTACTGAAGCACGGCACAGTACAGGTAGTTATTGCGCCATGTGATGTGTGTGATGCACAGTTAGATTTCATTGCTACATTGCTGTAGTGGCACACTATACTGGGGGAGCATGCTGCTATGGCGACATAGCTGCTGGTAAATGGTAGGCCCATGTGTTTGCCATGTTGCCATAGCATGCCATACTCCTATTTAGCACGTTGCTACGTTGTCATAAGGTGATGTGTAGATGCGCCCTCCCAGGACTAGCAAGAACAAGGATACCTGCTAATAAAAAATGTTCAACTAAATGCTATCTTGGATAGCATCCAATTCAGCCTTTAGCAACGATGCAATACAAGTCTGCAATCTTGACAGCTGAACCAGACCAACAAGAGTCTGTCTGGCAAGCCAAATGGAGAGGAAAGTACTTGGAGACTAATAACACAGTTCCTCCCCTATAGCCAACACCACAGCAGAGGAACAGAGAGCAGTTACTCTAGTTCCAGAAAACAGTGGAATATAATACCCTCTTTGAGATCTCCTCAAGGTTTCTAAAGATTAGAGGTTTGTGGAGTTCTCTGCTTCTCTGAACGTCCTATAATACTACCTTTATCAGTTGAGTTGCTCTTCCCATTATGTAAAGATAATCATGTAATTTTTTCTATGAGAGTAAGGTAAAATTGTTCATGTAGATTTGTTACCAACATAGATAAGAAACACTGTTTAAAGAAAATAAAAGGTTCAAAAGAGTAAAAAACAAGACAGACTTACTAGTTATCATTGCTCCAGTTACAGAACCCAGAAATCCAATGCTGACCACAATGACAGAGATTAGTCTCCCCTGCCTATGCCTCTGCAGCATCACAAACATTAACACTGCCACAGCACCATGGACAAAGAGAGAAGAGAAGAGAGCCCACAGGAAAACCCAGTACCACATCTCTGAAAAGAAAGCAGTCAAAGGGTTAATGTTTCTGATGAGCTAATTTTTAAAATGCAAGACATCTAGAAATACTGCAATATTCAAATAATAATAGGAAAAAGAAGTTTCAGGGTTTAGAAAGAATTGGCCTGGAAAGA